AGGACGCTACCATTATTGTATAGATTGAGCTGATGTTCTCTTCTTGGTGATAAAGGGGTATGTTTTTAGGTTCCCTAGCCATCACGACTTCCTCGAGACATGTGATAGTTGTACCTTGGAGAAATGTAGTTGATCAGGCTACATCCACTCCTTGATACGACTATGAACAGTCCTGGCTTAACCGAGATGCTAGCATTATCTTGTTTGGTTTGGTATTATGTTCTTTTTCCTAATTTACACAAGCAAGGATGTTTTATTGTTATGTTTTGCTTGTTTTGTTCAGAGTTGCGTTAGCCCCTCTTTTTGGTTTATAGTTGCATATGAATGTGTGGTTAGATATGTTAGTTCACTATAAACAGAGCTCTGATACCAACCTGTCACACCCTCGAACCAGACGGCGAAAACGTCTGAGGGCTCTTGTGACTTAAATTGAATACCATCACAATGAACATACATGAATCATAACATAAATCATCACCATGCATTGAAATAATACAACTGATATTGTTTACATCCAATACATTGTTTTAAACATTACAATTTCATAACATAAACTGTCTGATAGATATCATAAGCAAAACATCCAGACATTACTTGATACTTATTCTTCGGTTTACTTGTTACCTGAGAATACAAGTTAATTTTGAAAAACGTCAACATATGAAATGTTGGTGAGTTCATAAGCAATGTTGTGATAAAATGATTTGGTGTAGTTTGTAGAACCCAGAAAATCCGATATTTTCTGAATAGATAAATGTTTTAAAAAAAAGTGTGAAGATCTGTAAATATATGCTTGTTGATTTTCAAAACATGTATAATTGTTGAACTTCTGTAATGATCTCGCAAGTGAAAATGTTGAACTTCCCAGGAAAACCCGATGTTTTCCCATTACATAAAACACAGTGAATTCTCAATTTGTTATACCGTCACGATGAATGATTTTTGATTACTCGGGTGGCTTTGGATTAATTAGGGTTTGTGAGTCGTTATAATCATGCATTTGAAAATGACTAGTTTATAACTACAGGTTTCGAAAGATCCTTAAAGGCGTCACCCATTACTACTCACTTAATCCAACAACCATGATTACTTTTGATTAACGTCCTGAATCTGATTTCCTTGATTACTCATAAGCCTAACAAAGGAAAAAGGGAGTACGAAGTCCCGTTATATTCCGTGAGTTATTTTGGCTGTCGGGAATGCGAAAGGCACGTTGGCCCAACTCGCATTTGATTTCTTGACCTCAATAGCAATACTAATGGGCCACTAGGGCCCAATAGCACATTAAAGCCATTGAAAGTCCTTTTACATGAAATCGGGTCATAGGAGGCCCAATAACACATAAGCATATTCCCTTTGGGCCCAAAGATCATGTTAATGGGCTAGCAAGGCCCAACAAGCATGATTTGAAACTTCCAAGCCCAAATTTTGTAAGTTTGCTCATCGTAGTTATCACGTATTTATTTAGATGGTTTGGTTAAACGCTTGTTGTTTTGTATTGATTCGAGACCGAATCACTTCATTTTTAACGATATTTGTTGTTGAGAGTGTATTTGTTTTCCGTTTCGTCAGTAGTCGTGGATCTTGTATTTTTGTATTAATGAATTAATTTGTTTAAAAGTGGAGTTTGACCTTTTCACTACCCTTCTTTTATAAAAATAACACTTTTGGTCCTTTTATATAAAAGAATTTCATTTTTAGTCCTTAAAACCTTTTCTTGACACTTTTATATTATTTATTGGATGAAAACACAATTTTAACCCAAAATTTATTTTGTTGACAGCTTCAGCCCTTCCAGAATAGTGTTTCTCGGTTAGAGCCCCATTTTTCACAACTTTTATAGTTTTGGCCCAAAATCTAAAAACTTTACATTTTTGGTCCTTTCTGATAGTGAAAAGCATTTTTGACTCATAAAATAATTTTGTCATGCTAATTACCCCCTGTTTTACAGAAATTTTCGTTTCAGCCCCTAAAATTTATAATTTTTCGCATTTTGAGGCTTATTGGGTCGAAAAGCCCAAAATTAGCCCATTAAGCTAAAAATTTACATTTTAAGTCCCTTGAAAATTCTAATGTTTAGAAAAATGATTATAGAAACTGTTTTGACCCTTTTGACCTTCAAGAAACCGTGACTTGTCGATTTGTATCCCAAGTTTTGTATTTTTGACAATTTAAGCCCAAAATGGGTTTTATGTTAGAATATGTTCATCATGACCTTATAAGCTATTATTCTTGACTTGTTTAGTGTAAAATAGCTTAGATTATGTTTGTTTCCTTCCTTATGTCATAGATCTCGGGTTTACATCCTTTTTGGTAACATATTTATCACAAAACACATGAAATCACACACATACATGCATCAAATCACACATAGCATACACATAGACATAGATCTACACATTTTCTTGTATTCTCCCCCGTAAAACTCATAAAAACCGAAAAGAAAGGGGTATGAAGCTCACCTTGAGTTGTGGTTTCGATTTTGAAGAAGATTGGGAGAAGTTTGGTGCTATTTTCGGTCCATGCAAGTTCCTTGGATGGATCTCGAACTTAGTGGGTTCTAAGATGCAAGATCATGAATTTGAATGGATTAAGAGATGATTTTTGATGAAAAGAAGTGAGTTAAAGCATGGATCAAACATCAACTTACCTTAGATGATGATTTTTGTGGAAGAATCTCTTTGAAAGCCTCTTAGATCTCGAAAATTTGGAGAGAAATGGAGAGAGTTTCTTGAGAGAATTTTGAGTGAAGTGTGTGTGTGTTTGTTTGGGTTCGGCAGAGAGGAAGAAAAGGAGAAGAAGAGAGAAGGGTGATGGGATTGTTGCATGGAAGTATGAGAGCATGCATGGAAATCCACTAAATAAAAATGAGTTGGCACCACAAAGTCAACTCTTTCTTTCTTTGTGGGCTGGGGCCGAAAATGGAGAGGGAAAGAGAAGATTTTTGGGCTTTGAATGATTAAGCCCATTTTGTGGTTAAGTTAGGTGATTTTTGGCACAAATAAATAAAAATATGATTTTTATGACCTATTAGGGCTAAATTAGGTTAGTTATGGCCCAATAAGGTCCATTTAGGTATTTTATTTCATTCTAGGCCCAATACGGCCCAAAACATTTAAAATATATGGAAGTGGGTCCAATTAGAGCCCATTTAAGAGTTCTAAGCCCAAGATAGTCAAACTGAAAGCTTATTGGCCCATTGGGCCCAATAAGGAAATCCTGGTCCAGAATGGACTTAAACCGGGATTTCTAGGGTTTCCAATTCTTTGTTGACTATTTGCAGTGCTTGTATGAAGTGTTTGGTTGAAATTCTGTTGTTATTGAATAAACATCCTACATGATTTCACATTGTTGGTTCACATTTGTTATCATTGTTCAATGTTTACAAGGCATCAAAATTCCTAGTTGTGACATCATCCCCTCGTTAGAGGGAATTTCGTCCCGAAATTCTTTTGAAAGCTAGATTTGAGAATGCGAGAATAGGTGAGGGTACTTCTGCTTCATTTGATCTTCGCGTTCCCATGTGAACTCTGGCCCGCGTTTTGCGTTCCACCGTACCTTCACAATCAGAATGCGACTTTGCTTGGTACTCTTCACCTCCCTGTCCATGATTTCAACTGGTTCCTCCACGAACAAGAGATTCTCGTTTATTTCAATTTCATCAAGGGGAATGACAAGAGTTTCATCGGATAAACACTTCTTTAGGTTGGAAACATGGAACACGGGGTCTACGCTGCTGAGCTCATTAGAAAAAGTTTTACTTCAAAAACCAAAAGCTAAGATTCTATGGACAAAACATGGTTTTTTTTGGCAAATATAGATATGAACTAGTTATTTTTATCGTCTTGTGTGTTATAACCCAGAAAGTGTTGTGTTGGGATATGTGTTTTAAAACCAGACAAAAATAACTAGAAATCAGTCTTACAAAAAGAAACACAAAAATCTATTATTTTATGTAAAAATGGATTTTTAAGCAAAAGTGGTCATAACAAGTTTATGACATCATTTTATGGGTTTTTGACTAAAATATATGGTTTAAATCATATAAGGTTAATTTGGGTTAGAAACCCCAACTAGCTTAAAAACAAGTTTTACTAAATTATATTGTACTAGCCACTGGTAAATATCGTTAAAATGGATCAAAGATTAAATATTTACTTGGTTGTACTAGGTGTTTTCAAAAATTGTGTTAGGTGTATGTTTATATGAAATAATCTTCTGAAACACCTAGACATGTGAACATATACATATTTATATAAGTATGATTATATAAATGGACATAACATAACATTTATAATAAACTATAATTTGTATAGTTTGGGAATCATAATAACTACACTAAAGTTTCAGAATAAAACAAATAATTATTTAAAGGAATAATTATTTTAATTACCATAAAAAGGAGTTTACAGTTCAAGTAAATCGGTTAATACTGGTTGTGAGACATTTAGCTTCACCATACCCACCAGAGTACACATTAAATCCTAAGTTATAACCAGAGTCTCTTGTAGGGAGAGCGTGACACTTGTGTATAGATCTATACCGCACCTAAACTGTTAGCTACAGTTAGACCAGCGGGTATAGGGTGACAAATGTCGTAACAGTTCTGACGCCCGAAGCACGTCGTTCAGGCCACTAGTCGTTTTAGCATGGTTATAACAACTCACATATGGTATCCACATGACATTTGATTTACGAGTTAACATACAAATAGTTTTATATAGTGATAAAACGGCATAAACGTTACTTTTCAGTACAATATTACTTACATTTTAGTCTTTGGATTAAGACTTACAATTCATTTAAAGAAAATATTGGATTTTCTAGAAATATACTCTATCATTTTCATGAAACAAAAAAAATTAAGGTTAACACAAAAAAAAAATTAAATGACTAAATATGTATAAAAGTTATAATGTGTTATCATCCCTAAATCATTATTTCGATCTAAAAGTCATTATTTAATTCGGACATCATTGTCAATTTATCCCATTTCATAAATGCTGCTATTAATTAAAAGAAAGAAAAAACAACAGAAGGGCGTAAGTTTTTCAAATGCCACTCTCTCCTCTCACACTCACATTTCCACAAATCGGAAAATCAGAATCCTAGATCGCTGCGTCGCCATCTCCGAATTTTCATAGCGTCTTTTTCATCTACTTGCTTCGCCATTGTCCATAGATGCAGTATCGTCTCCATTCCCTTCTACCCCTCAATGGAACTACGACAGACGTTTCCTCACCGGCCAATTTCACCAGGTTTCTCTTCTTTCTGTATATATATTTACATATGTGTATGAATGCTCGGAGACATATTTATCCCGATAATGTAATACCGAACCGTCTACCCTTTTGTGAATGTAGCTTATCTTGTTCAAAATTTGATTTTGTTGGAAACTGGTGTATAACTTTATGCTTGTTCAATGCAGGACTCAAAGGGACATTCAGTGGATATAGGGTACTTTACTTTTTCCCTGGACTGATATTGAGTTTTGTTCATGTTTCTATGCGTGTAATTGCTGTTATTAAAGCGAATTGTTTCCTCCTTTTACACTCTCTTTGTACAGTTTGGAATCTGAGAAGCTGATAGGTTGCTACAATGCTTCTGTTCAGGTACAGCTACTGATGTTTTTATGCTTTTTTGTGCAATTCTTGGCCTTTTCATTCATAATGTCAAACTAGTGTCAATTTTGAAACCTAGAAAGAAGTTAATTTAGAATATCATTTTAATGTAAAGATAAATGAAGATTTTGTGATAATGTTTCAACACATGCAGGAACTAATTGTAATTGATGATCTTCTATCTGGTTTAGTTGGGATTGAGGGGCGATATATTTCTATCAATAGAGTTGGAGGGAATGATGACTCTTTTATCTTCAATGTTGATGGATCTATGGATTTGGCACTTCAGGTAAGATTCTTCACATATACAATTATGCATACACTGATACACAGATTCACATATGTATGTATCTATAACTTCTTGGAACTCTTTTCACTTTTGGGAAATAAATATTGCAAGAAAATGCAGGAATCATCGAACTAGTGGACCATATTTTTAAAATTTAAGAAACCACAGGGATGAAAAATGTAATTTACTCACAATATTGCTATTATTAGAGGGTTTTATACATGTGTATAAATAATATAGGTGCCTGCATTGGAGAATTCAAAATTGATGAACTTTGGGTCGAATGATCACTATCTTGAATGCATTAAATCTGCTTATGATTTTGCAAGTGGCGAATTACTAAATCTCATGAAGGACAAGGTGGGGTTTATTGTTATTATTATTATTATTTTTTTAAAATCTTATTTCTAATGGCTGTGCTTTTTAGTTCTTTTAACAATATTTAGTGACCTGTTATTCTTTTGAATGTTGACAGTATGACCTCATTGGAAAGCTGCGTTCTATTAAGCATTATCTTCTTCTGGATCAGGTTAAATTTTGATTGTTGTGTTTTTGTAGTTTAAAGTATTTGAATTGAAATTAAATTTGATAATTGATTTGATTGAGTTAGAAATACAGGGTGATTTCTTGGTTCATTTTATGGATATTGCACGTGATGAACTTGATAAAACACCAAATGAGATCTCTGTTGAGAAGCTTCAGGTCTTTCTCCATTTACCTCATATTATCTGACTAAAAAAAACTCAGAGTATATTTCGGGCAATTATTGTGATTACGCCACTGATACTTTTTTCTTTCCAATAAAACATTAAAAGTTAAGACATTTTCCCAAACTAACCATTCTAATTCTCCAAATTAACCATTTTGACCTATAATATCAGGTCAAAGTGGTTAAATTGGAAATATGTCTGAAACTTTAATGGTTTTTTTTATTGGAAAAAAATAAAGTAGAAATGGTTAGTTAAACTGCAAAATTGCCCAAAATATAATGCTGTTTCTGTAATTTGCCCTTATTTGTATGATCCATATGTATAGTTAGGGATAAAAGTTATCCATATATAAGAATTGAATTATCGTTTCTCACTTTGTTTTTACCCATTAAGTTCTATCTGAGAAAATAAATGACATTTTGTAAACAGATGACTTATAGAAAAATACTCAATTTCCTGACTTTCTTTCTGAATAAAGAGTTTGATGCTCTGAATATAATACACAAATAAATGAAAATGAAAGTACAATGCTATTTTTTTTTGCAAATTAACTTTATAATTTAATTGAGTTTAATTTTCAGTCTCTGTTGGACCTTGCACTGCGTTCGACAGCAGCTGCAGCAGATCCTTTGCATGAAGATGTCACATGTTCTGTGGTCAGTTTTCATTTATTCCTATCACAATATTCCACTTTCAGAAATAATTAATTAATTAATATTTTATTTATTATTATTATGCATTTTTCAGGACACAGGTTCTTTGTTAAAGAGACTGAGCATTCTGAAAGATCTTCAAACAGGTGGTGGTGGTGGTGAGATAGTTTCAGAGGCTGTAGAAGAAGAGCCCTTTGATCACTGGTATGGAAACCTTCTCTGTTAATTACAAGGTAATTAAACACACCTTTAACATTTTCTTTCTTTCTTTCATTTAATACAAGAAACAGCAACCTACTTTCATTCATTTGTTTATTATTTATTTATAACATCTTAATATCATCTATTCCTATTACAACATTCTACTTTGAAAAAATCCATTTAGTTTGGTTTATCAATGTCATTCAAATACAAATCGTTTTCAATATTACAATGTTATAATTGGAATTAGGCTTAATCTCATAAAAGACCTTATATTTTGTGTTTTTTCCGGATTAAACCTCTGGCCCTTTTAGTCATTTTTCTTTAAAAAAAGTTGTATAATGTGAGCTTTTTATCAAGAAAACCTAAAAAAGTTGAGGATTTATTTGGAAACATTTAGAAGGTTGAGGGTTTTTTTCGGGAAAAAAAAGACAGTCGAGGGTTTTTTTGGAAAAAACAAAGAAAATTTTTAAGGCCTTTTTCATGAAAAAAAGAAAGATGAGGTTTAAATTTGGAAAAAACACAAAATATAAGGTCTTTTATGAGATTAACCCATAAATGAAACTACTTTACTAATTATCTAATTTTCTATTTTTCTAATTATCAATTAAATGAAAGTGAGGTGTTATTTTTTTTACAGGTTCAATGGCCATTATCCCTTGTGATATCAAGAAAAGCTCTGACAAAATATCAATTAATTTTTCGATTTCTGTTTCATTGCAAACATGTGCACAGACAGCTTTGTGCAGCTTGGCAACTACATCAAGTATGAGACTGAATATCCCTGATATAAATATTTATTAAAAATTAAGAAATATAAAAGTATCTCCTTTTTTACTCTTTATATTATGTGTGATTATACTTTTGTTGTTGTTGTTGTAGGGTGCACGTGCACGTGATATGCATGGAACTGCAATCTCTACATCATCAATACTATGCAGGAATATGCTTAAATTTATCAATAGCCTTCTTCATTATCTAACCTTTGAGGTAAAAGTAAAACCATGTTCTTATGTTTATAAAATAACAATCTACTTACATTTCCTTACCAATAATAACAATATATTATTATTATCAGTAAAAAGGTAAGTATGTTATATAAAAAATAAAGTACATTGTGTAAGTTTCATGCTATAAGTATGTTGCTATTATGGGTGAAGAAATATAAATATATTGCTATTTCCTATTTATTTATTAATCCAATGTTTAATGTGGTTATTTATGTCTCTGTAATTCTTCTGTCAACCAACAAAGGTAGAAGTGATATCATATTATTATGATTGAATAACATATTCTGTTTTATCTTGTTTTAGGTTCTTGAACCAAATTGGCATGTTATGCACAATAAACTTGAGAATGCAAAGAGCATAGATGAGGTATATGTTGATTTGTTTAACTTTATTGTAGCATCCTATTTTCATTTATTTTTTGTATTAAAATGTTGTGCTTTGAAAAATCTACCCAGTTAGTAATGTCATACAAATACAAAGCAATATTTACTTCTTTAGTTGGGTTGATTTTCAAAGTATAATGTTCTAATAAGAAAAAAAAATTTGTACTACAATGCTGTAAAAGAAAAATATAAAAATACATTACTATATTTCACAAATAAATGAAAGTAAATTGTTAATTTTTTCTTGTGTGTGCTTCTAATCTTTCTATTAAAATAGGTAATTCAATATCATGACTTTTTCATGGAGAAGTGTCTCAAGGAATGTTCACTTCTTTCTCCAATCCTCCTCAAGGTTTTCCTCATTCCCTATTCATAATGCTCTCAAATTTGCACATCTAATTTTACGAAATACAATATGAAAAAACAGAGGAATAGAATAGCATGTGAATTTAATATGATTTTCATTAAGCATTATTTCTGTATAAAGTGCTGTCTGGATAACTATTGTTTAAAAAATATTTGAGAAAACGATGACACACTTGAGGAATTGGAAGTAAAAAGTAAATGAAGTCAAATTGGTAAACAGTTCGGTTAAAAAGAAACATTGATATGTAAGCTACAACATTAAGGGGCTGTTTCTTTTTGACTTAATGAGGTTAACGAGGACAGTACTCTCTCATGTTAAAAACTGATGAATATTCTGATTTTTCTGGAATGTAAGGGTAAAATGGTCATTTGATCAGACAGACATCATTATCTGATCAGTCACTTTACCCATACATGACTTAGTGGGCCCCTAGGTCATGTCTCCATTAAGTGAAAAAGAAATAGAGTTGTATAATATAGAAGGTTTGTGAATTTGTTCTAATAATAATAATAATTAAGTTTTTGGGGGTGAATGCAGAAATTTGAGAAACTGAAACTTGTATGCCTTCAATATGCTTCTGCAACTCAGTGGCTAATGAGCTCCATTGAAGCTCCTGATTCAAACAGTTCCTTTGATGATTTGGATTCATCTTCCTTGGAAAATGTAAAGGTTTTGAAGCTAAGAAAGCCTTCCAAAAAACCAAATTCACCCACAGATGAGTCTACAGTCATCGAATGTATCCTGTAAGATCTTAAAACACCTCTTTTTCTTTCTATGTACGTATGTATGTATGTATGTATGTATGTATGTATGTATGTATGTATGTATGTATGTATGTGTGATGGAGTGGAGTGATTTTTGGCAGGAAATTTGAGAGGGAGTTTAGTAGTGAGCTGGAGAGTTTAAGGCCGATATTGAGCAGCAGGGCACAGGCAGAACCATATTTGACTCATCTTGCACAGTTAATTCTTGGTGTTGGTATGGATCACCACATCTAGATTTTTGTATTTTTTTTCTTCAATTTTACAGTTTGCTTGTTGGTTGTATTGGTTTTTTTTTTTTTTTTTTTTTTTTGTATATATCTGTTTTGGAATGAGTGTTTTTGCTTGCATGATGAACCACTTGTGTAGATTTCATAGTAGTAAAACATGGATCATCTGGATTTGATTTTAGCCAAATACAATTTGTTTCTTGTTATTAAAATGATATGGAGTTTTTATTGATTGAAAGTATATGTCATGCCTCTTGAAAACCAAATTGTAAAACGCGATCCAACCGATTTATAATTTGGTTGGTTCAGATTGGATTTGAAGTTAATTTGTATTATTCACTTACTTCCATCTAAACGCGTAGAATACACTCTGGATTGATATGGAACAACTTTTAATAACTTCTGTCATCCTCAGCCACCTCCAACTTTTAGCACTTGATAGGATCAGCCCCTTCATTAACCAACTTTAGCTTTAGCTTTATGACCAATACAACTACTAAAATTAAAACCTGCATTAACCAACTTGCAGAAACATTTCCAAGCTAATGACACAAATAAAATGGACATTTAATCCTTATTAAGATCGCATGACAGGGTAACAGCAAATTATATAGTAGAAATCAGTTACAATGGACGGGAGCCATCATGCAATGAATTAGATAAATGATGAATTATGACAGAATATTAAGCACAGCTAAAGTTGTAAAATTTTGGGAGATTAAGTATCAACTTTATAAAATGTTTGGACTTTTACCCATCTTTTGTTCTTGTGTCTTATACTCGAACAAGGCAAATGTTTTGGTACAATTTGGATCACAAGGGAGGAGAAAGTTTATTATTAAGAAAGAGAAAGGAATGACTGATACAACATATCTATCTATACACCAACCAACACACTCAAATACCTAATTAATTAACATAGTTTATTATTTAGTGTGACATCAGTTGCTTCCTGTGGTGCTCCCCGTCTAACTGTTTCTTTATTTAGCCCCTTGCATTCATGGAAATTCAAATGTCGGATAGATGACATGCTGGCTAACCACATGGGCAGTTCTTGTATTCCAAATCCATCTATGTGTAACCAAGACAGTGAGGTGAGGTGTTGTATTTCTTCAGGTATCAACTCCCAATGATCCCAACCTCTCAATTCTAACGAGTGAAGGTGGTTACTTAACTTCTCGATGCCTTGGAGACTTGGGAAAGAATCGAGCTCCTTTGAGAACGGACCAACTCTCAACTCATTTAAGAAGGCAAAACAGTCAAACATTTTGTGAGGCAAGGAAGTCAGTTTGTCGCAATGGATAATTTGCAAAGTATTCAAAGAATGACACTGGTTGGGTAAATTGGTTATTTCTGAAAGACTAGGACACATGGCAATTTTTAAAGATTCGAGAGATGTGAGGCCTTGTATGCTCTTAATAGACACCAGACCTGTGCAGGCTCTAATTTCTAAGGAAACAAGAGGATGGGGATGGCACTCATCTAAGAGAATAATCTTTGGGCAATGAGTAATCTCCAACTTCTCGAGGACAGGCGATATCATTGTTGAGCTATTGGTTGCTCCATCTATCCACTTTTCCAGGCTGAACATACGCGATAGTTTCAGCGATCTTAACGATGGAGACAAAGGCTTTTTTGATCCAGTAACATCGGGAATACTTAAGCATGTCAAGCTGTCTATATCCTCCAACTCAAGATCCCGAAGATGTGGCAGGTTCTCAAGCGTCGGAAGACAGAGGCAGCTCCTACAGTCAGATAATGTGATTGACGGGCACCTCTTGATAGATAAAGATTCAAGAGATGTAAGGCCTTGTATGCTCTTAATGGACGCCAGACCAGTGCAGTTCTGGATAATTAAAGAAACAAGAGGATGGGGATGGCATTCATCTAAGAGAATCATATTTGGGCACCTCCAAATGACCAACTTCTCAAGGACAGGGGATATCATTTTTGAGCTGTTGGGTTCTCCATCTATCCACTTTTCCAGCTTTTTCATACCCATTAACCAGAGCAATCTCAACGATGGAGACAAAGGCTTGTTTGATCCGGTAACACTGGAACTCCTTAAGCATGTCAAGCTGTCCATACCTCCCAACCAAAGATCCCGAAGATGTGGAAGGTGCTCAAGGGTTGGAAAAGAGAGGCAGCTGCTACATCCATATAATCTGATCTCCACCAGCTTGTCAAGGGGAGTCCATTTCCGTTCGATATGGATTGCCATCTTCGTTACCCAATCTGGAAAATTATCACCACAAAAATTTATAATTCTCAATATCTTAACACCTCCAGGGGGCTGCAAGCCTTCCAATACATCCTTGTCAGCAACTCTGTTGGAGCCTTGATCATTCCCACTCCAATTGAACTCAATATCGTATAAATTTTTCTTTCTCGATAAATCTGCCTTGACAGCATCCTCTTTGCTCCTAACATTTTCTAGATCGACAATACAGAGCTTTCCAGTAAGGTTATTCAAATGGCGTAGCTCTTCAATACCATGTCCCTTCCTTCTAAGCACTTTGACGGAAGGCAATTTTCGGATAAGAGTCCATTGTCCCACAATATTGGTGGGAATGTTTTGGTCATAAATGAAATATCGCAGGCTTATCAAATTTCTCATAGTTTTTGGAAACTTGTTGACATGATAGCAATTGTGCAACTTCAGAGTTTGCAAGTGGTATAGTTTACCAATAGATTTAGGAAGAACACTAATATACGTCTTTGACAAATCAAGATACCTAAGATGCACCAACTCTCCAATTGAATCGTCTAACTTCTCAATACTATCTTTGTTGAGTTTTAGGATGCGTATGCACTTTAATCGTTGAAATGAAAACGTCTTCCCAACTTCACCTTTGATGAACAATGTATGCAAAGTTCTAGCCACCATCTTCCTTTCAATGAACATAGAAACCTCCGCTGCCAATTTATAGTTCTGTTCTTGGTAAAATGCGAGATGTTTAACCTGAGGGATACATGTAATGTCATCATTTGTCGCATCCACCAGACATAAGCTTTCATGTTTTGAAAGTGATAATGAAAGATCATGCACCAGATCATGCATGCTACAAGTGATGTGACCATACAGCTCATCCCTTTCAACATCTTGGAACAATGAATTGCTAACCAAAATTTGAAAAATATCATTTCCCACATCATCCACCTCCTTGTCTTTTTCCTCATCTGCTTGAACCAACCCAAAAGCCATCCAAAGTTGGATCAGTTCTTCCTTTTTCATGAGTGTATCTTTCTTAAAGATGGAACAATATGCAAAGCATTGCTTAGCCATAGAATTAGGAAGATTATCAAAGCTTAGTTGCAAGCTTTTTTCAACTCTATCCCTTTCATCTTCTAGATCCCAGACTTTGCTATTTTTGATGGACAACCACTTTTCTTGGTCATTGTAATTTTGCAACATGCCTCCTATTACCTTTACTAGCAACGGTAAACCACCACACTTTTTCACAATATCACGCCCTATCTCCTCCAATTCGGTTAGTGGTGATTGACCTGGTAGAAACGCTCTCTCTTTAAAGATGTACCAACAATGATCACTAGAAAGACCTTTTAAAGGACATGAATCCATCGCCATAGCCTTAGTTCCGATGTCAAGTTTCCGGGTAGTAACAAGAATGCTACTTCCAATTTGGGACTTCACATTTATCATAACACTCCTAAAGTCTTCCCAATATAATCTCTGTTCATCCCAGACATCATCCAGGACTAGCAAATATCTTTTTGAACCCAACTTCAATTCAAGATCTCGAACTAAATTGACCATTGTTTCCAACTTAGGTTTCTCTCCTGCAACAGATTCATAGATCTTTACGAGAAGTGTGTTGATATCAACCTTAACCGACACACACAACCAAGCTTTCACATCAAAATGTTGCTGGATTTTTGGATTATTGTATACGGACTTAGCCAGAGTGGTCTTCCCCATCCCGCCCATTCCCACAATAGGAACAATCGTAAGTTTTTCTTCTTTTCTTAACTCGGTTAAAAGGTGTATGATGCGTTCTTCCTCATCCTCCCTCCCAACAATTTTGAATTCGCCTAAATTTGGATCTGTCTCCAGGTAGGGGCGATATTGAACAACAGGGCCAGGCTGTTCATTTTGTAGTCCCAACTCGTTTGCTTGTTTATTGATTTGAGACAACTTTTCGTTAATGTTTTTGATTTTATGACCCATTTCACTACGAAAGAAAAGCTTTTTCAAGCTTGGGAGAGAGGGTACCTTTATTGCCACCCGATCTCGCTTCTTTACCTCACGCCTCAACATTTCGTAGTGAACCTCATCGACTACATCATCAGCTTCAGCAACCACCTCTTTTAGCTGTTTCAGCCACTCCATCACACTATGTTTTTGACCTTTCTGATTCTCGGCATCCTGTAACTTGGCACGAATCATTTTCAAGGTCCCTTCAAGTGTGTACAACTTCTCTTTGTAACCCCAAGCAAGGGCGACTTCGTTGACAGCTATGGATGCTAACTTTTTCAGGATCGCCTCGGCAGCAACATTAACTAAAGCGTCGGCCATTTTCAAATTTCAAGGGTGTGTGTATGTGTGTTTGAGATACGAGAGAGAGTCGATGGAAGAGCGTGAAATATAAAGTCACACAATTCAAAACTCGCAACATGGAAAACAGAAAAGATGCTTCAACATATTCAATATTAATTTTATCTTAAAAGAAATCAATATAATATTTGTAATTGGGGATTTTTTTATGTACCGTGATTCCCAAATGTAAACTTTTTTTTTTAATATATATATTTTTGTTATTATTATATAATATTAAATCAATTAAAATCATGTTTTTATTTCTTATTTTTATTTTATTTTTATTTTTATTTTTTTTTATTTTTTTTGTCTTTTTTCCTTTTAAATTGTTTGGATGTTACCTTTTTTTTATCGAATTAAAAAAATATTTTTTTTAATGACATTAATATAAACGATCTTAATGCTATCTTTTTGTTAATGTAGGAGTTTTGAACCATATCAACTACAAATTACATTTATTTTGTAATTAATTGAAAATTATAGATGATTATAAATATTAAAACGAAATTATGAATTCAAAATTTTACCCTTAAAAAAAATAAACAAATTCTAAAGATTTTCACTACAATGTTATTATTAAACATACAATGTTGTTATTAAACAAATTAAACATTAAACATTAAAATAAGAGAAAATGAAAAAAATAGCCAAATATACTAATTATTTTGTGGAAAATAGCAAAAAAATTGAAATTGCAAATTTGGCCACAGAAATCATAGATGGGAATGGTCCATCTGCGAATGTACAAGTGGAGTATTTTTTTTAATTTTTCTTTATATATATATATATATAGGGGTTTACCAGGCTAAAATCGCAGATGGATTGTGTCCATCTGCGATTTCCTCTCTCTTTCATCTGCGAATATATATATATATATATATATATATATATATATATATATATATATATATATAATTTTTTAATTTTGACTATGAAATCAATGGGTTTGACTACAAAATAACCTTATTATATATAAACTTTTGTAGAAAATTATCAGTTTACTTGTTATTTCTTTAGGAAATTTCTTTAAAATCTCTCTAAAAAAATGATTGAATATTTGGTTTGTCTTGTAACTGGTGGGAGATGGCAAGTTATTGAAACAAATCTGAAATATGTATGTCCACATGCAGGTATTTCTGAATTCGCTTTGATATTTTCTGAGTATATTAGTTATAGTGATTTTGTATCTTTGGTGAGAAGCAAAATTGGTTTGTTAGACAAATATAGAATTAGTCTTCGTTTCCATCATCCTGAATTGAATTATTATATAGCTATAGTTGAAGACATGGATGTTAGAATGTTGATAAATGTAATCAAATGTAGCGGAGGAAGGGCTGTGAAAGTGTTTGTGGTGGTTGATGAAGGAGATGAGGTTAATGAGACTGGTCAGAGTGGAAATCAGCCGATTGGTAATTTATGCAGCTATAAAGGGAGCAACGATCCGATAGGTACTTTCAATACTCCTAGTGTACCTCAATTTCAAAGTGTTGCTAAAAATGTTAATGTTAGTTATTCACCTATTCACTATGTGGATCCTGAGAATTACAAGTATGTTGGTGATGATGATGTTGGTACATATCTTAATGACGTGGGTGGTTGTTGTGTTGATGTTCCCAAACAAGAAGTTAAAGTTATGAATAGGCGTGTAGTAGATAAAAGTAAAAAGAAAAAAAAAATTATGCGTCAAAAAGATGAAAAAAAGCATGTTTACGGGGATTATGTTGATGTTGCTGATGTAGGTTTAGATATAACTGACTTAGAAAGCAATTCAGATGGAGATGAGTTGGGTGATGAAGTTAAAGCTAAGTTTCCCGATAACCTTTTTTACGGTATGCCCCCTCTACCAGCATGCCTAGTTGATATTAATGAAGATATCCTAACACAGATGGTAGACATCAATCTTCAAAAGATTGAATGTGAGAGTATATTTACGAACAAAGAACTTTTAAAGCGGGCTATTGGTAAAAAAATGTCTTAGAGAAGGTTTTCAGACGAGGAAAGTAGATCCACCAAATCAAGGTATGAGGCTGTGTGTGTTTCGAATAATTGTTCTTGGTTACTAAGAGCAAAAGCAATTAAAAATTCTGATGGACTTTTCCAAGTGAATAAATTTGTTAATGTACACACATGTTCTTCAACAATTTTGCAACCTAATCATCGATAAACAAACAAATATGTTTTGCGTGAATATCTTGCTGATGTTTTGGCTGAAGATTATAGTAGAGTTTATCGGGGAAAGGATATTATTAATGATATGAATGCTCAATGGAATATCAATATCTCATACCATCAGGCATGGCGTGCGAAGCAATATGCATTGTTGTTGTTAAGGGATACGAAAGAGGATTCTTTTACCAAACTTCCGGCTTATTTCCACAATTTGGTCAAACATAATCTGGGTACGGTGACACATATTAAAACAGATGGTGATGATTGCTTTGAGTTTTTGTACCACACACTTGGTTGTTCGGTTAGTATTTTAATATTTTATTATTTTTTACATTTTTATTTTGGTGTATTTGAATAGATATATAATGTATTGTAGGTACGTGCTTTTGTCAATTTTTGTAAACCGACCCTTGTAGTAGATGGAGCCCACCTAAAGGGCGAGTTCAAAGGTATCATGTTACTTGCAGTTACTAAGGACGGACAAAACCAAATATTACCGGTTGTATATGGTATATGCAAAAATGAGTGTACAGATTCTTAGACATGGTTTTTTTCAAAAACTACGTGATTGCATAGGCAATATGCAGGAGCTTACAATTATATCTGATAGGTCTCCATCTATAGCAACATCCATTGCCAACATTTTTCCTCACGCTCATCATGGAATATGTGCTGTCCATTTGTATTTCAACATAGTATCTAGATTCGGGAAGAGTAACATAGTTAAATGGATTTTTTGGGAGGCTTGTAGGGCGTACACAGTTGATGCTTTTGACGCTGCCATGGAAGTTATGAAAAAGACAAAAGAATCAGTATGGGAGTACTTAAAAAGTATAAATCCAGAAAATTGGTCTAGGGCACATTTTAGAGGGAACCGATACAATCTTATGTCGTCCAACAGTGTGGAGTCTATAAATGCATTATCTAGACACGCACGTAAGGTGCCGATACTTATGTTGATCGATTTTTTTCCGTGCAACAATGTAACAATGGTGGTTTCAAAGACGTAACTTTGTAGGTATTAAGTTAATTTTTAATATTAATGTTTTATTAAATGTTATTGATCTTAACTTCTTCATTTTGTCTGTTTTTAAGCGGAAGCAACAACAACACTCACCCCTTGGGCTGATGATATTGTAAAAGAAAACAAAAAAACTTTTAGTAAGTGGGATGTTCGCATGATCTCAAATACGAAATGCGAGGTCAAAAAGGGGGCACGAAACGTGATTGTTAATTTCCAACAAATGACATGTACATGTAGGCATTGGCAACTTGATGGGATACCTTGTGGTCATGTCATAAGATGTTTATCAGTGTAAAATTACCAAGACTGCTCAAGGTATGCATTAAATGCTTACTTTACTGAAACACTAAGGAAAACATATGAGGAATCAATAAACCCTTTGCCAAAGCCATCCGAATGGGATATCCCCGATGATTTGATGATTGTTAAGCCACCTATAATGGATAAACGTCAGCCAGGCAGGCCAAGAAACACAGACTGCATTACATCCCAAGGCGAGGGTCCAATTAGAAAAGAGTGTTCTATATGTGGTCAACTAGGACACACGAGAAACAATTGTATTGGAAGGGCGTCCGATAGTGGAGCACATCGCACAAAAATTTCTACTGCAGAAATGACATTTAATATTGGTGGTTCAGCGAGTTGCTCACAAACCTATGACGCAAATTTTGATATAAAACAACCTTGAAATGAAGAGTTGTTAACTTATTATGTATTGTAATTTTTGTATTAAATCTTACCAGACATTGTTATGCTTTCATATTTTAGTTTAGTTTGTAGATTATAACAATTAATGAAGCTTTTATATTATAATATTTAGTTTGCATATAACAATTACAAGATGTTATTTAAAAAAAAACAACAAACGATCCTTTTTCACCCTAAGGTGTATCATGATAATGTTACAACATTTTTGTAACTAATTTTTAAACTCAGGGAACTGCAATGGGTACTTCTCTTTCTCGATTGTTATATAGTCATCCCTAATTCTCATTTTATCTTCCAAACGATTCTTTTGCACCCTAAGGTGTATCAACTACTCGTCCTTCTCAGCAAGCTATTTTTCAGTCGTTTTGATTGCCTTCTTAGTATATTTTTATCCATTCTTCATGCTCTTTGATTTTTTTTTATTGAGGTCTATCCATTCTTGAGCTTGTTTTCATTCCGATGCAATATCATTACCACGTTGAGTGAGAAGTCGGGATGACTCTTTGTCCTGTTCTTGTTGTTCTTCAGCCTTCTTCAATTCTTCAAAATTTTCATCTGACATATATGGGCCGGAGGAAGAGGGTGTAAAAAAAGGGTCGACTGAATCACAGTAGTAACAATCTACTTCGTTGCATGAGCAAACTTCGAATTTTTGTGAGGAACTCATAATAAAGTTGAGATTATAATAAACTGGTGCTATAAGTGGTATTTATACATACTAGTCCAAATGCAACCATATCGTAGTTAGAGTTGTAATTCATAGTCGAACTTTGAAATGACTACACATTAATGACAAGTCATTGTAGTAACCTGCAAATCGTAGTCAAACTCTGAAGTGACAAGACATAAATGACTGTTTGACATGATAAGTCACTACAACAACCTGCAAATCATAGTCCAAATGCAACCATTTCATAGTCAAAGTTGTAATTCATAGTCCTGTATTTATTAATATAAATAGATGTTTAAGATCTACAAACCAAACACCCATATCACTTAAACGAAACCAACTCCCATATTTAGAAATGTCATCGAATGCAGAAACTTCTTCGAATGAAGTACCTGGTTCCAATTCTGA